GCATGTTGACTTTTTATATGATTTTGTAATTCTATATACCCTTGTTCAGATCTTCTTTGTTTTAATTTGGTTCGGTTTAGATGTTTCAGTGGCTTTGAATTGCTAATTAACTTTCCCAGTGAGGTCAAGTCAATTTGTATAACTTCCAAGTGCAATATTTTGTCAATTTACTATACAGCGATTTATCGGAGGTATCCTTATAATTGCTACTTCGTATTACTAAATCCGAAGTTGTTCGATACCCATGCTTCATGCTGGAGCGCGTTAAACTTCGTCATACCATATAGGATAAACTAGTTGTTATAAAGTGTGTGAAATATCTCAGCACTTACGGCATCACCTCTACGGCAATAGCCTCCTCAAAATTGCAAGGTGTAGAAGATAAATACTCTACATCGATAAGACAGAACAAAAATTGCAATAGCCTCCTCGTTTTAACGTGGCATTAACATTAGCTACCACTCTCAGAAAGAGAGAAAAAAAAAATAAGACAGAACAGCGCACGGTTGGTGCAAGAAGACCGAAACATCACGCGATTAGAGGGTCCAAGTCAAAGTCTACGAAGACTTGGACTACGAACAGTCCACGAAACAACTTACTCGAGAAGGAATCGCACCAATGATTCATTTTATTTGGCACTTTGTGCGTCACAGTCAGACTTCCATAAACATAGAGATTTCATCAAAAAGATTAAGAAAAAATGTCACTAGATCACTCTATAAAATTCAACACCGATTCATTTGCTCTCTTATTCACCCGCAAAAATCACATGACAACAAATCGATCTCAAATTCTTATATTAATCGATAATTTCGTCTTGCGATTTCCTCTGATCAAATACCATCATATGAAAATCGAAAATCATATAAAAACAAACTCTTAGGGTGTGTTTATCGAGCTTTGAAAATGTTTTTAGAAAATTCATTTTCTGAGAAAGTAAACCAGAAGAATTTGATTATGGTGAAAACAAGATGAAAGAATTGATTTTATCCTAATTGATAATAAGTAAATCCACTAAAGGCGGTTTGTATCGTTAAAAGTAACATATATTGACTAATAAATTAGAATCAATATCATCTTTGTTTATTCAGTAATCCATCAAAATAACAACGATTACAAAGAAATTAGGATAGAAATCAAGGAAAACGATTCATTCTTGCCAAATCATTTTCTCTAAGCTTATTAGCCCATGTTAAACGTTTTCCATCGATCGCATAGTTTTACATAATTCAAACACCGGAAAGTACGGAAAAAATTTCTGAAAAATGATATTTCATCAAATAAAGTGACCCTAAGTTAAATAAAGGAGGAAGAACAGGAGGGGCAGTTCCATCTTTTTTCTTTCTTTTTTTGGGAAAGTTATTACCCTTTGGGACAAAATTGTACAAGTGTTTGCAAGCTCACGTCGTTGATAGAAGTCAGATTTGAATGACGGTAGACCATATAATTGATTCCAATGAAGAGATCCAAAGTGAACAATCATATCCCTTTATATTCTTTCTTGTCCCGAAAAGGAGAGAACAAAACTGAAGTGCTAAAAAGAAGTTGGACGAATGTTAAGGCCACTGTTTGATAACATGATTTTTCTTTCTTTTGGCCGGCAGCATTTGATGAATGACTCCATAACACAAATTCAATGATTTCGGGGGATTTTCAATGATAATCTGTAAAACAACATGTGTTCATCGTTTCGCATAACAGGTTTTATTTAATGGCATCTTAATTAAAAAAGATGTGCGCTTTTACTCTATAAGCACGGGCTTTTCGTCATTTGAAGTTTAACAAAATAAATCTGGGTTATTTACAAGTAATGTTAGTAAGTATACTAAAATTGATATATTAAGTGATATTGATCAAATCATCTTAGCAAGTGAATGAATGGATTCGTGAGAATAGATACTAGACAAGTGTGAAAATACAAACGGTTCTCATTTACTTTCATAAAAAAGTCATTTTTTGGAAAAACTGAATTTTCCAGATCTAGAGAATCTTGAGCTTTCCAAATTGCTATTAAAAATGTCCTTAACTTTCTACTTTATCATGGAAAACATAAATTTTCAGTTTTGTATTAAGTTGACATGGAATCTTAATTTTCTTAGGAAAAAGTCCTGACCTTTCAATTTTATATTGCAACAAGATATCTATATCGCAGATTTGACATATAAGTTTAGTAGATAATTTCAGAGTTTCTACCTTGGCCCCTAGTCTAATGTATGCCATCACAGCACTTGTCTTTTATTTCTTTGCCCGATCGGCCCATCGAACTGGATCGACCGGAGTTCACCTTGATTAGGATGGGGGGAAACGAACTTGGTTGGAAGTTTGATATCTGCTTTTGTTGACTTCGACTTTGAATGAATCCACACTTATTTGTTTGGGGGGGGTGGAAGTTGATTGTAATCCACAAAATTTCTACACGACTTGTTCAGTAATTTTACCACGTTAAAAAACATAATAATTGTCAACTATGACAAGTTGGAGCGATACTTCGAGGAAGCATCCTTACTGACCAAATTTTGTAGCAAAACTGGCCCACGGCTCTCTGCATATTCAGCCAATCCTGTGGCTTCTAAGTTCATTGACCTACCGAAAAGTCATTCAGAAAAATCTTGCTTTTTAGTTCCTTAATGTTCTGTGGTGAAGGAACAAAGAGGTCTTGATGGTTAAGGCCCGCATGCATCTATACGAAAAGTGTTTCTTTTCCTTTATAAAGAGCAGGAGTTAGGCAATGGATCCTACCTATTTTCTCTTTTTCTCCGGGCTTTTGAGCAAATGGAGGAAGCTCAATTTCGATTCAAATGGAAGGAGTCCAATTTAAAAAATCTGCAACAAGACTTTTGGACTTTCGTTTAGTAAAATAAAAGTTCAGTAGAGTATGAGCAAAGCTAAAGCTATCGGAGAACAAATCTGATCTTCCATTGATCTCGATTCAAGAAATTCAAAACTTTTCAAGAGTCTTTTTTTGACTCATCATGATTAATAAATTCAGTCTTGAATTTTTTTTATCACGCTTGGATCTACATCTGAAAAGACTTAAGGACTCATGAATTCCAGAATGGGAACATTTTTACACCTCCGGATCTAGCGAGATTTTATTTTTTCCTCCATGTTGTCCTTATCAAGTAGCAGTCGGTCTGTTTAATCAACATCTGTATCTATCGAAAGCTGAAGATCTTGCTGGTGTTGGCGGATTCGCATCACTCATGCAGTTGCCGGCAAGCGCGATAGTGACACTGCAATTATATACGGGCAAAGACGCAAGCGTGCCTCGAGCAGTGTCATTATTGCAATCTGCGGGCTAGTGCGTGGGCATCTATCGAGACACGTGTTGTCAGGATTTCCAGTGGAAGATGATATTTACAATTTGTGGTCAGTTGAGTGTGAAGTTTGGTTGTCTCCTATGTCTAGAACTTGTACATGGTAGAAGAGCGAAGGCTTACTCGGTCTAATGGCTTAATCGACTTATCAACTTATCCTACGATTAGCTTTAGAGTTTGTGGAGGGATAAAATCTAGATTGCAATGTTTGGAAAGGGGGCCTTTTAAAGTGCCAGGACCAAATGACTTTTAAGCAGTATTTTATCGGCATCAGTGGATGACTGTGAGCTATTCAGTCGGTCTTGAAATTGAGAAACTCTGGCTTGGTGCTGGGAATTCAGAAAGCATCAACCAAACTCTTATCACCTTGATTTTCAAAGTTGACTTTCCTAAACGGTTGGAGCAATGTCGGTCTATTAGCCTCCGTAATATTTCCTTCGGTATTATCATTGAGATTATCATGATTTGATTGCATAAATTTAAGCTAAACTTGACTTCACTCAACCACTCAACCAAGTAAGTTTCGTTTCAAGTCATCATGTCCAATATAATATCATCATTGCTAAGGAAATCATTCATTAACCGTGCAAAATGAAGGGGAAGGAAGGCTACATGCTAGTCGAGGTGGATTTGGGCAAGGCGTTTAATAGGTTAAGGTGTGAATTCACGTGACTGGACTTCGTGGCTCATTGGTGCCTGGTGGATCCCATCAAGCGATTTATTGCGATTAACAATATGCAGCTTTTTAGGAATGGAGAACTAAGAAAAGCTCCAGGTGGTGTATAACAAGGGAATCTGCTTTTGCCTTCAATCTTTGTCCTTTGTATAGGGCGACTTTCTCACTAAATCATGAATTTCGTTGAGAAGAGTGTTTGGAAGCCTTTAATTTCCGAATTACATTTTCCATCCCTTCAGGTCATTTGTCCACAATTGCCACCTACATACTCGACCGACTTACCATTAAAAAGAAAAATTAGGTCCCTGCCACGAGGGCATTGGAATAATTTGGCAGCAACAAAATAGACATCCAATTGATAATCAACAACTCGTATGATCTCCGACCAAAAAACAACTTCTCATAGACTGGGGGCAGTTTTCCCCCAAAATAGCCCCAACTCGACACCCCAACCCCGAAGTTAACCAGCCATTTTCAATTAGAAGTGCACTTCTAATTGAAACTCTCTAATCAGCCCTACGATCCAACTACCGATTCGAGTAAAATGTTTTTCTAAGAATATAACAAAAAAGCTCATTTAATATGCTCGTTTTCTCGAAAGGAACAACGGTAAAATGGTCAGAAAGAGAAAATAATGGGCATAAGGAGACTGAACGGCACCTTTTTTTAGTGATCGTTTAAATCGAGAGAGATTAAATTATCAGATTTCTGGCAATCCAAATTGGAGCTGACACTGAAGTGATCCGAACAAAATTTTTGCACCGAAGTAAGCGCCGTATAAAATTTTTGGGCATTTTATGGTATCCTTGTTCCGAAAACAATGTCCGTCCGACGAAAGCCATCAAAATTAAAATATTGATCACGTGACAGGAAGGAACGAAGTAAAGTGCCGACGCACGCGAGAACAAGAAGGTGGAGGCGTTTGTTATCCGATCGCGGGGATAGGACAAGCCGAGTAGCCAAACGGCCCGTACCCCTGCGGTTTCGATACAAACAAAGCCGGCTCTCTTCACTCGCCCCCACGAGATGTCTTAACTACAAAAGAGAGAAACCTTCGAACAAACCAAACAGCGTCCTACACGCCTCTCCCCTTATATACGTGCACCGTCTCTACTTCTCACGCTCGTCGCGTTCTCTCTCTCTCTCTCTCTCTCTCTTCCTCTCTTCAGTTCGTTCGGCTTTGTGTTGATTCATTCGGAGCTCGGAATGGCCGCCGCCGCCGGAGCAGCACCCGCTCGCGCTTCGTTCGCTCTGAGGCAGGCGCAGGTACGGTGATGGGTGTCGGTGGGTTCGCGATTTCTCGAAATGGGTTTTCCTTGTGATGAGGCTTGGTGCCTTTGGATGATCATGGGTGTCGATTCTTGCGTGGTTGGTTTTTGTTTGGTGCTTGATCTCTGTGTTTGCTGGGATGTAGTTCTTTCGGGTTTTCGAGGCGTGTTATCAGCTTGACGTTAGCTGTTTTCCAAGACTGATGAAATGTGCTCGTTGTTTTGGTGCTGGAGGTGTTTTTTTGTCCGTTGGGTTGTGGTGAATGTTGAGTTTTTGTCATGGATTGGTGGAGAAGTGGTGTTTCGTTTAACTTTGTGGTGGAAAAAGAAGAAGAAACTGCTGTACTTTTAATGTGTTTACTGACTGGATTTATGAATTCTGCTGGAGGGGATATGCTGGTTCTGAATGCTTTTTCATGGAAGATGTGTGTGATGATTGATCAAACAGAGCGAATTTTTGGCTATGTTAAGGATTTGATAGGGCTCGTTGGGAAGATGAGTACGTGTTCTGGCGGTTTTCGAAAAACGGTCATGTTTGTGGCGGTAGTCTGGGTAGATAGAGGAATGCGTGAACTGCGTGAGCATCGCTAAAGCGTGCATTTGTAACTTCATTGGAAAGCTACAGCACTGCCAAATGAGCATTTCAAATATCTAGATGGACTAAATGAGCTGTCTGAGGTTAATAGTGAGTTCAGGCTAGCTAGACTAGGTTTTGGCTTTCTGCTGCTTTGTGGCTGCTCTGCTCACGATTCTAATCGTTCCGCTTCGCAAGCTGTAAATTTGGGGATTCAACTTGAGCACCCTTTCTGGTGATTGATCTAGTTTGGTCTTTTTCGATGTGTTGTCAAGTTGCTCTCAGGTAGTAGCTTTTGCAGGCATTAGGGGAGCCTAAAGTACAATATTATTCCTCTATTTGGATGTGAATCTTATAAAACTTAATTAGAGTCCCAGAGAAATAATTGTTTTTTGGCCATGAAGATAACGATGACCATATGCGTAGTCTGTCATGCATCTCAAAGCAGACAGCTTTCTGTGACTTCCGTTGCAAGTTTGTGGTTTCCGTTCCTCTTCAATCTTGCTTTTCTTCCTACCTCTCTCCGTCTTTGAGTTTTCAAAGAAGATAATAGCAAAAGACGCACCAAACTTTGCAGGCAGAGCTTACCATCAGCAGATTGACAGAGGAGAGAAGTTTGCAGAATTGAGAGAGAGATGCACTTAAGCGTGACCTGGTGAGTAATGTGCACTTTAATGTTTTCCCCATTACGTGCATCATGCCAATCTTGCCCCATCTCCAATATATGGTGCAGTATACTTTCTTTCAACATTCGAATACCAAGGCTTACGGGGAAAGATTGTTGCTTTGTTCATCAGGAGATGTTGAGGAAGACAGGTGGGAGAGCAATTCAAGTGGGATTTCCTTTCCTGTATGTTTGTGCGGTCGCTCTTGTTGCCCTTGCAGTTGGATACATTATCCACCCGTAGCTGAGATGGTTTTGGTCGCCGCCTAATTGGGCTTTAAGTAGATTGTGTATCTCTAGGGTTCAGCATTGTGTTGCCTTATTTTTTCGTCTGCAATCTCATGTATAAACCTGGAAGCTTTGGTATTTCAGTTGGAGATGATGTGCTCTTAAAATGTATATTCCTGGTTTGACTCTATGGATGGTGTAATTGGAAAAATCTTGAGTTCCCAAAAGACAAAAATGCAAGAAAAGTTCCGCAATCATTGTTGTTATTATTGGTATTTACAAAAGTTCCGGTACTACAAGACATAAATTGTAACAGTCTGAATTTTCGATCTTTTTCCCGGGATCTATGAAATGAATATTTTGGCCAATGCACTTGTAGTGAAATCTCACCCGGAAATGCGCATTCACGGGATGCTAACCTTAGGGGTAAGGCCGTTACGGGATCGAGTTCGCACGACCAAAGAACTCGACCTGGGTTCGACTTCGACCATATCGATTGACGAGGAAATGTTTTGAGCCAACCGAGACCGATCTATTTGATTGATCGTGTCTAAAGGGCACTAGTGACAGACCCTCGCAATTATATGACAACCGAGGTCGTCCCGGGTGGAGTAAACTTAAACGTGATTTGACTTAGTGTCGGTCACGGGTCGAGAGCGCGTAATTCCAGAGAGCCACCCGTTAGCCAGAGATAAGCTAAAGTTGCTATTGCTCGATTTTAGTCATTTCTTGGAATTCGGGCCCGGGAATCGAGAATTTTGAAAGTGACAATTTTGGATGGCCGATGACGTTTTTGGCTTGGCCAACCTTGGGGCCACCCATTTCTGCAAAAAAATGGATTTCGGTCCGGGGCCGGAAAAATTACGGTTTTGCCCCTGTGGGCACCGAGGCTGGATTCGGAGGCCGTTTGAGGTTATTTTTCGCGGCCAAGGTCATTTTGGGGTGGCCACGCACATTTAGAGTGGTTTTGGCCAAAAATTGGAATTTCGACAAAAATTGGAAAAATAATATTATTTTATTCCCGAGACTTTGACGTGGATTTTCGAGGGCTTGCGCGATGAATTTCGCGATTCCGACGCCATATTATGTTGGCCACGCATATATGGAACGCGTATGTGCAAAAATTGGAATTTCGGTTCGGGATCGGAAAATTACGAAAATGCCCCTAGGCCATTTTTGATTAATTCCGAAAATTGGATTTAATTTTGGGATTAACCAAGGTGAGTTAGGCTTAACTCAGGTCTGGTCAACCATGGTTAAGAGCAAATGACCATTCTACCCCTAAATTATTGGATTGGATCAAATTTGGGCCCTTGGATTAGGGGCAAAATTGTCCAATGGGCCTAGATTGTGACACTTGGACTCCACTAAGCTATCTTTGACCCATTTGACCAGATAGTCTTCTCTCTCTCTCTCTCGTGCAGACCCATTCAGCCATATTTTCCCCAGAATTTTCCTCTTCTTCTTCACGTTTCTGGTTCTGCAGTCCCGTTTCTGCCATTTTCGGTACTGTTCACGCCGGAACAGTACCAGCCGGTGCTGCCCCCCACCAAGCCAACATCACCAGCAACCATTTCCACCTCTGTGCAGCCACCACAGCCCCAGTTTTTGTCCAAAACAGCCTTGTTTCTCTGTTTTTCTCTTTCCCGGTCTGCAAACAGTACCGCCGGAGCTTCGCCGGAGCTCCGATCGTCGTTCCGTCGACACCCAGCCGTCCAGCCTCGCCGTACGTCGCCGTCCAGCCCAGTCCGTACAGTGTCCGTACGGGTACTGTTCACCGTCCGTACGGATCGCTGTTCACGCCGGACCGTCGGACCTCGCCGGCCGTCACCGGCACCTCGCCGGCCACCCGTCCCAGCTGTCCGTACAGCGTCCGTACGGAGTGTACTGTTCACCGCGTCCGTACGGTGCACTGTTCACGCCGTCCGTACATCGCCGGCGACGCTGCTGCCGCTGTCCCGGCCCGTTCAAGCCCCGTTCTGTGTCGCCTTTTTGGGTAAGTGTTTTCCCCAAATGTCATTTAGGACCTCGGGTATTTCTAGACTCGTTTAGTATTCGGTTTAAGTGATTTTAGGGACTGTTAGTGGTTATTTCGTGGCTGTCTTCGGGACTAAATTAGGGGCTGAATGTTTGGAGGTTGTGGGCTGATTGGGTGACGAAATTCGTGGTTTAGGAATGCTGAGTTAGGGCGGTGATGTCGAGGATCGATCGGGAATTAAATGGGTGATTAATTGGAAATGTATTGGCTTGATTGGGTTTATCGGATTAATTGTGTAGTTTGCTGTCATTGGCTTGTTCTAGTTTGTGATTGGGCCGAATGTGATGTGGTGCTATGCCGTGTGTGTGGCCGTGAGGTGTGGTGGCGTGGACATGTGAATGTGCATTGAGTTCGTGTGCCGAGTGTGGGTGATCATGTGGTGTCCGTGTGATGAGAATGCGTGTTTGTGAAGTGTACGTGAGATGTGAATTTGGTGTGTGGCTATAAATGTGTGAGGCGTGTATGTTTGGCCGTGCGTGTGCTGGTTGTGTGTAAGTGTGGTTTGAGTGGAACGAGGATATGGAAATGTGAGATTGGTTGGAAAGGATCCGTCCTGAGGCGTGTACGTTTACGCGGGACGATGCCGTCCCTGACGAGGTGACGATGCCCGGCCCGACGGGGTGTCGATGCCTGACGTGGTCAGAAGACCGTTGGCCTGATGCGTTTTACGCGGGCGCGGTAGAAGGAAAGTGTGTGTAGGATTCCGTCCTGAGGCGTGTACGTTTACGCGGGACGATGCCGTCCCTGACGAGGTGACGATGCCCGGCCCGACGGGGTGGCGATGCCTGACGAGGTCAGAAGACCGTTTGGCCTGATGCGTTTTACGCGGGCGCGGTAGTGGTGGAAAGGTTGAGAATGAACAAGAATTGGCGGGACGAGTGAAATTAAGAAAATGACGCGTGGTGTGAGTTGGTGTGCGAGTGTGTTTGTATCGCGTGGTGTGATGCTCGATTATGGGGTAAAAAAACTGCTAGGCATGGTATGGGACGTGCCCAAGTGGGTTTTGCTCTATAATCGGGGCACGCGCGCTGCTGTGATGTATTTCTGTGGCATACTGGATGTGTGGTTGACTAACGTGCAGGGACGTGCGTGAGGAATTCCAGGTAGGGTCGCATGTGATTGTTAGTTGGCTGATCGTTGTGTGTTATGTGTGTTTTCGTCTGGCGGTACGTGAGTGCCTACGTGGGGTTTGGGGTTGTACACTTATTGAGATTCGTCTCACGGTTGTATAACCGCCACTTTCGAACCCCGGCCCTAAACCCGGGAAGTGCGCCTTTTCTTTTTGGAAGTCGGGAGCGCTTGTTGGTGCCCGGTGGAGTGCAAGTGAGTTCCAGAGTTTCAAGCCAGAAATTCAGAAGCAGACTGGACGAGGGCGATCCTTAGGTTTTTCCCTAGGATTTTAGGGGTTGTGTAAATCGGGTTGACCCATAGGGAAGTTAAGTTAACCAGACCTCGATCTTTTGTTTAAACGGTGACTGAGGATGTTAGTCTGTATTTATGTCTGGAATATGATGTTTGTATATTTGGTGTTGTATGAATATGTGGTTCTTTGGACTGTTCTGTTGTTCTACCCCGTTGTCGTCATTATTTGTCCGGGGTTTTATTATTCGCTTCCGCATGTGGCTCTGATGTTTGGGTTGGGTCGGCGACGTTCCTGGGACGTCGCATTATTTCGACCGGAGCGGGATGTCGCGAGCTCGATGGGGTTCGGGGCGTGACATCCCCGTTTGAATTGGTATCAGAGCAAGGTTAGCTCGATATCAGTAAGGTCGAGACCTGGAGTGATAAGGAGCGACGACTTCAGGGTAGTCAGTTAGGGAGCCCTTTGTAGATGCGTGTTTATGTTGTTTGTATGTGTTTTGTGAGTACGCGCCTGTTATCGCTGAGTGATTTATTGTAGTTATATTGATGGTTGAGATGAAGGTGCGGCAGGACTTGAGGTGAGTACGAGAACCCTGTTGAGTGTTTAATGGTGTTGGTTTGATGTTAGGTTATCGATTTGATGGTGGGTTCTTTGGTTGTTAAGTCTTGGTTGTCGAGTTACGTGCTTAGGGTTTGGACTAGTGTAGTTGGCCTAGACCTCGATACCCGTGTGGACTTATAGTAGGTAAGAGAGTAGTAGGAAGCTGATACAATGAGCAGCCAAGGAAGGGGTGCAGGAAGAGGAGTAAGGGGTCGAGGTCGAGGTCGTGCTAGAGCTAGAGCCGTAGAGGATCTGGGTATGGATGCTGGTATAGTAGGAAATCCTGGAGCGGGTGTTAGAGCTGCAAGGGACCCCAGAGTTGATGCTAGGCCTGCGGAAGATCCGCGAATGGAAGGAGTTCTCAGGGTATTAGAAAGGATTGGGAATATGCTGGATCGGCAAGCCCAAGAGCGAGATAATGCGACCGCCCAAGCTGAGGCTGCACTCTGCTGATTAATGAAAATGCTGGTATTGGAGGAATCAAGCCCGGAAGGCGGGTTCAACCAGTGGGGTTAGGCAAATGCCCCGAGTTAGTAGAGCAATTTATGAAATTGAAGCCGCCTAAATTTCATGGTCGTGGTGACCCCGAGGCTACGCCAAGGTGGGTAGAAGAACTGGAGAAAACTTTTAAGGTTTTGGGGTGCACCGAGGAGGAGAAAGTGACATTGGCGGTTTATCAGTTACAAGAGGGTGCAAATGATTGGTGGAATGCTGTGGAAGGTAGAGTGTTTCCTGTAGGAACGGCCCCGACTTGGGCTGTGTTTGTGGAGAATTTTTATGAAAAATATTTCTCGGAAAATGCGCAAGAAAAGAAGTTGATGGAATTTATGCGCTTGCGCCAGGGACAAATGACTGTGGATCAGTATGAGGCCGAGTTCGCGAGATTGGCTAAGTTTGCACCGACCATGGTGGAGAACCCGAGAGATAGAGCGCGAAGATTCCGGGATGGACTGAAGCCGGATCTTCGGAGTCTGATATTATCGCATGACATTAAGGATTATGGAGAAATGTATAGGCGGGCTCAAATTATTGAGCAGGATATGATGGAAAGAACCGTCGCGTCTGGATCACCACATATCTCAGCCGGGGACGATCGTCAGCTGGGGAAAAGGCCGATGATGGAAAATCGACGTTTTGTCCCTCCGGCAAGAAGGAATATTGGAAAGTCGGCATATTCGTCTAATTCCGCCTGTAAACGATGTGGGAGATACCATGGGAATGGTCCCTGCCCAAGTGTGATTGGGGCATGTTTTGGGTGTGGTGGA